TACAGCCAAAGTTCCAAGATTTTGAAAAATAAGATTGCGAGCAACTATAAATTTGTTTATTAATTACTATTAAGTAATATATTGAGTTCGATGTTATAGAGACATTATAATATCATATTTAGCTATAAAATTATATATCGTTACAGGTTATTATTTCATAGCGAAGCGTTAATTCTTCGACGCGAAATAATTCTTAATTTTACTAGCGCGAGTTTAAATTAATTATTTAAATGGCGAGTTAGAAGCCATACAACAGCAGCAACCAATCGCAATGCACACGCGTTGCAAGTACTGGCCGTCGCACATGGTTATTATACACAAGGAAATATTCACATAGAGATTTTATTTTATTTTTAATTAAGTTTTTACAAGGAAGTCATTAGCAAACTAGTTAACAAGCAAGTCCCGCTGATGGCCCGCCTCTCGCTCACCTTTCCTATCCGGGAACATCAGCGGAAGGTTGTCGGGAATGTGTTCCGGACGAACCCTGAGCTCCTGAGAAAGGATCGGGAATCTGTAGGTTGTTCGTACGTTGAACCGGGAACACGGGAACCTTGTGAGCGAACGGCAGCGGTTCGACCTGCAAGAGTAAATCGGAAGTAGATTGTAGTATTATGTACCCATAATAAGAACTTCTTGCTGTACACTACTTTTGTCATACTCATATACGATACAATACGATCCTCTTAGGCGCAATGACATATGGAAATTTCAACAATACGGACTATATTCCCTTCCCTTAGACGCATTGTGTTACGCATGTCAACGTTGTTATACCTTGCTCGAAGTATAAAAGTTTGGATTACTATCTAAATTCAGACTCAGTATTCCTTAATCGATGAGATCAAGGATTTGTCGAGCGAGGGGGGGGTTCATATCCCTCGAGTCACACGGCCCGGATTTTTGACCCGTTGAGGGTTCGTACCCACGATTCAACCCGTCGATGATGCCCCTCAGAAAGGAGGATTCTCAGCGAGGGGGGTCATATCCAAACAGGTGGCCGGGATTTTGACCGTAGAGGGGTCGTACCCATGCACACCTGATATTGACGTCAGGGACCCAATCCTAGTTTAGCAAATTTGCGAAAATGTAGGGTTCATGGATATAACCACAATTCATTTTCGCAATGTGCGACATTGGTGCACAATGGTGCGACCGCTTTATATCCTTGGACCAAATGAGGGCGGGGTCCAAACTGGGATTTGAACACCGTCAGGAGGGGGCGTATTGACGATTTTCAATGTCTCGGGGTCGTATCACGATTTGACGATCGATCGACGGATGCCCTACCTCTCTCACGTATTCCTCTAACTCGCTGATGGACACGCCCATGTCCCTGAAGGCTAGCCATAGGTCATCCAACATGGGGTCCGTGCGTCCAACTGGAAGAAAAGAGGAAAACAAACATCATGATAAAAAACATTTAATGAATTACGCCTAGTACTGAGTTGAAGACTGTACCAGACTTGAAGACTGTACAGTCAATTCGCCCTCCCTTGCTGCATTTATTTTAAAATCGTGACACTTTCATGTTACCATGTAAATTTTCATTAGCTAAATAATTTCAAATAAACAAAAGAAACACGTGTAAAAAAAATAAATATGAAAAAAATCTATCTACGACTAATCTACCTCAGACTCATGAAAGTAATGCCTGGTTCTTTCGATAACTACAATGAATAAGCAGCGTTCGCAGCTCACCCAATCGCCCAGACCAGAAACCAAGCTCAACAGGATTAAAACTGGACACAACTAAACTGAAAGCCCACATGGTACAAGATCGGGCCAAGTGAATAGTCCCGCTATGGACTGTGCCATGCCCAATGCGACGTGGAACACAAGATATTACATTGCCTCACGACTCAGGATTAGCAGGAGAAGATAGACTGACACGATCGAACTGGCGTATGTGAAAGACCAACCAAACCCAAGCCATCGACAAATTTGACAATATGCCACCCTTCTGACGCGAAAAAACAGGAATCTAACCCAGAGATGGATGCCACCACTTCAAAACACGCCCTCTCCAATTCACTGTCTGAGTCCATTTCCCAAGCTAATCTAGCACAGACACGTTCCGTTGAGTTACAAATTTAAAAACAACAAGCTAAACCAATATACTATGAGTATGAGGACACACTGGTACTCGGGTAGCTAACGATACAAAGAGGTTATACATATTGACCCCATGCACCCGTGTAGCAGGAGGATAAACGATAACAACAACAAAATAATTAAATGCGTACTGACGAGATTTAGATATTAGGTGATCGACACCACAGACGTCCGTCAGTCGTCGCCGTCGCCGTCGCATTTACGTACACTGCTCGGAGTATCTGTGCGTTGTCTTCCCCAGGTCTTCGAGGTGCCGATGAAGAATGTCGACAAGGAGGTCGCACGGGGTTGTCTGGATGGCGTTCCATCCGAGGTTCTGGGCGATCTGTGCGACCACCACCTTCAGTATGCCTCGACAGTACTTGTCCGCCATCGTCTCACTAATAGATGTATTGTCAAATCACTCCATCACTACCATACTGGAAGTAATAAGCTAACATCTTTGAATTGTAAAATTTGCGTTTCCGCCATACTGGATGAGTCCACCTTTCTTATGCACAATTCTTTTCAACAAATTTCTAACACTCCTGTATAAATACTATATATATACTACAACTGCATAGCCTAATGAATTGAAAATAAAAAGACATTCATGTGCATCAATTTCATACAATATATTTTAGTTTATTATTTGTATTATGTTTTACTTTTTATTAGTATTATTTGCTACATAGGAGGACTTCGTGGTGCATTGTGGGTAGTTTACTGTTGCTGTTTCCCTTTTTGGCATTTTTCCGTGGTTCGATCCTAACAAGGTTAGTTAAACATACCTATCTTTAATAAATTAACGTTTGCGTGCTGTCTGTCTCCCTCTCATAGACAAGACTCACAGTAAAGTAATCGCGTATTGCAGAAACTTTTAGTTGTGCATCGTTACATCATGATGATGATGGTGATGTGCTGTGAGTGTGACTCATTCGTCTTCCGTATCCGCGGGCGATGGGTCTCTTCGACAAGCTGTCGGCGTGCCGGGCCCAGAGAAGAGGAGGAGGCGCGCAGGTCCGCGTCGACAGCAACTAACAGAGAAAGAACAAACAGAGACTCGATCATGTCGACGTGATCTTCTCAAACCGCCGGACATGCCCCACGCGGAAGACATAACCGTGCCGACCTCGCTTCAACGGCGAGTCGATTCGTCCGCGAAACCTGGGCTCACAACCGCGCGACATGTCCGGCGCAGGGCCCGCCACCACGCAGCTCGGAGCACTACTCCCGGACGCGCAGGGGCGCGTCTAGCTCATTCGGACAGCAACGATGCGGCTTCGCGCGCGCTGTGCTGTTGTAAGCAGGAGCTGGACGCGCTCATCGAAAAATATACACAAATAAGGAACAATAAAGCAGAACGCGCACCGGCCGATACTAAACTTCTCGCGAACAAGATGGACGGCGAGACGCGTTTGTCCAGCGCTTGGGGCCCGAAGACAGAAAAAAAACGGTCGTCGCTGATGGGAGCGCATGAGAGGAGAGAAACGAGAAGCACCCAAAGACCGATTGCAACAAAACAGTCGCGCGAGCAACGCGCTGACGGGAGAGGGACTGCAGGAGGGGATCGAGTGGCTGACGGGACAGATACAGGACGCGATACAGACGAAGCGGCTCAACAAGAGCGCGCGTCGCCGCCGCTCGCTCCCAAAGACGACTGGCGATGACGACAATAAAAAAAGAGAACAACGACGATCTGCGCCGAAATCCGGGGGCGGCCGTCCGCTTATTCGGGTCGTCTGCGAGGGCGCCTGTATCGACGTACAACCGACCGTTTCTTCCGTGGTCGCGCGTATAATAAATGTACGACGTCCCAGTTCCAATTTTTGATGGATTTCGTAGTATTCGCATGCGAAATCGTCTTTTTCGCGGGGCAGTTTTCGGGTCGGCATGCGCGTAGGCTTCCCTAGGGTGATTTCTCAGACCTAAGTCTTATTGTCGGCGTTGCGAGAAGCAAAAGAAGACAAAAAAGAAACAAACAAGCGAAACCACACACGAACATCGCCGCTATTTACGCTGTGCAAGCGCCCTCCAACCCAACAGCATGACGAGTAGAAGAGCACATAAATTATTATTTTAGTATTCCGTCCACAGATGTGTATCTATGTGATGCGTGTGTGTGTGTGTGTGTAATGTTTTCTGAGCAAGAGCATAAAAGAAATAATTGTTATACCAGGGAAGAGTTATGTCATTGATAGAAGAAAGTTTGCGTCACCGTAGTAGTATACGGAAAAAGCAAAGCAGAAACCGTGGATTGATGGACGTGATCCCCATAAGAAAAGAGAAAGAAAGGAGAAAGAGATAAAGAGAGAGTAAGGAGGGCAGGCTGACCGAGTAAGAAAGGAGAGGGAGAGGGAAAGCCAGCGAGTGGAAAAGGGTGAAGGTGCCTGATTAACAGAGAGTCAGGGGTTGAGCGAGAGATGCAACACACAGAAAGATGTATACGTT